GTTATGAAATTTGGTTTAATAAACTATGTAATTATTTCTTCTGCAGGGAAAATATTTTAAATTGATTATTTCTTTTTAAAGGAGGTGGGGGATTTCAAATCATAAATTTATAATACTCTTGTTCTGCTTTACTGCATTCAGGACGTTTTGTATATTCTGAATTGAGTGCAACCAAGCAATAGTTTTTCCACTTTATAAGCACCCATGAACTGTAAGATGCTACAAAAAATATTCAAGTCCTGTGGTGGAAAAACCCCACGAATACTGTTTTTCCAATCCTATGTCATCTAAAGAAAGAAATATCAAAATTTATCCCAAAGAACAAGGAACAGATATCTTTCATTAGTAATTTAATTTCTTCTCTTAATAAGACTCAGTTGTGTGAAAAACCTGCTGCATTTTGCTCTAGCTGTTCCCTGTTTGACAGCACAGGAGAGTGGAGCAAACTCCCAGCACCAGAGCAGGCCAGCAGGGATGTCCCAGCTGTGGGCAGAGGGGACACATCACACACAGAGACTGCACCAAGAGTGCTCACAAAGACTGTGGCCACTGCCTTTGGGTACTCGTTAAACAAAGAAAAGCCAGGTATCTGCTGTGCTTGCTGCAGCACATCATGTCAGAGTAACACAGAAAGGGAAATGACTGAAGGTCTCTGATAGGTAGGAAGCAGCATCTGTCCTCTTGCATACATCAAACACAGCTTAATAACTTCCTATTTACTGCTTCATGGCAGAGGCCCAGTAAATAAACAACCTGACTGAATTAGTCTGTTTTTCTACCTTTGTCCTCTCACAAACCTCTTGAACCAAGCTTAATGTGAATGGCAAATTTCACACTGCACATGGACATCTCTCAGCACAGATTAAATTAGTTATAATAAAACAATTAAAATCTATTTGCCCACAGAGAGGAGGAAATTAAGGACCTGGCTGAGCCCTAGAAAGGTAAAGGGTGGGTTGTCAGGGCACCAGGAGAGTAAACAGCAGAGCTGTGATTCTCAGGAGCAGAGCAGGGTCAAACTTACTGCGAGATAACTGCTCGGGATATCGTAAATCAGGGCTGCACGTTGCACTCCAGATGGCTGTGCCATGCAGGAAGGCACAGTGGATCATGGAACTCTGGTTCTTTCTAAGGATTACTGATCCAGCCTGCCTTCACAGGGATATCCTAACAAATAAAATCTTTATGGCCTCTTCCGCTGGTGAACATTTTCTTCTACTGGTTAAAGTCAGGACGTCTTAGCATTTGCATTGCCCCTGATACATATGCAAAATTAATTTAGGTTCACACAGTTTTCGCTGGTAAAGACTTTTTGATTATCTAGTACTGTAAAGTTCCTCCACAGCACTTATTGTAAATACTCTGATGGACAGACAGGCCATTGTTCTGAGCTTTAGCTTGGCTGAGTCCCCCAAGTGTTCCAGGCATAGAGGCAAACACACTTAAAAACTCCTAAACCTATTGAGTTGTCTTTCAAAATTGTCCAGGCAACAGAATTTATTTATAAAACTCCACAATCATTGATTCAAAACAAGGTTTTCTTGTTCTGCTTTTCTTCTTTGTCCTCTTTGAACAGTTTTCTCTGGAATGTTTTCGTTGTGCTTAGGAGTCGGAGATTTCCTGCGGCTTCTAATAAAGGCATTTGATTTCCACTCTCCACACACTTTAACACATCCAAGGATTTTGAGGTTTGACATTAGCTTAAGAGAGGTGGAGATAATCAGCCAAGGAAGTAAAAAGCCAGAGTTATGCAAATTATTTGCAAAATGTATAGAAAGAAAAAAAAAAAAAAAGAAAAAAATCCTTTACATGTGGTTGGTGTGGGACAGAGTCTTTGTCTCAGCACAGAATATCTGTATGCTCCCCTTCAAATTTATGGCTTTGATTGAAACCTGTACAGGGGTGATCTGTAAAGTATTCCTGCTATCCTACACTTCCCAACAGGTTTATTACCATTCGTTTATAAAATGAACAGTCTAACGAGCAGTGGTTTAGATCACAGCTATCAAAGTCTGGTCATTTGTCAAGATTAGTTTCCTGTTGTGAGATTGCCTTGTGCAAAAAGAGTGCATAACCTTGTGTTCCTCTTGGGAAGCTGAAAAAATACCTATAAACACCCTATAAGATAGGTTTAATGAAAATTTTATAATCTCAGAATTCAACCCAACACGCTGCTCTGTGTGTGTGTGTTTGTGTGAATGTGTGTTATAATACCGAGTACCTGTGTACAGGGGAGGGAATTTTCTTGACAAGAGTTAAATTCAGGATATGAAGTCCTTGCAGTATTGTCAGGGCAATTTAATGTTCATTTGAATGAGTTAATGTACACTGATGACAGTGTAATTCGTTATAGCTAAAAGGCTGCCTTGGGAAGCGCTGTTGCAAAAGCACCATCTTTACAGGAATAGTCGGTTGCCAGTAAATAACACAAAGTATTTTCTGTTCACGTCAGATATATTTATTTTGAAGAAAAAGATATAATACAAGCAGTCACTAAGGCAGTAGGACAGCAAAGGTGCAGGTCAGGGAAACAACATGCTCCACAGGACAAGGATGTGTTATCTTCGCGTCCCTGTTTGGGGGAAGGTGCAGCGGGTTTATGCTTTCCTGGGCTTTTCTTCTTGAAATTGTCCGTAAGCGGAGTTGGGTTTGTGTTTTCACTGGTGGCGCGGGATGTGTGTGCGCTTTGCCTGCGAGAGGCCGGAGGGAGCCGCAGCCCATCCTGGAGCGGCCCCGCAGCGCCCGCGGCTCCGGCCGAGCAGCCAGGGGAGAGTCCCCGTTCTGGGGAGCCGGGACCGCCGGGGGGGTCCCTGGCACCCACCGGAACCTGGGCACGCCAGGGGGGTCCCTGGCACCCACCGGAACCTGGGCACGCCAGGGGGGTCCCTGGCACCCACCGGAACCGGCCCGGATCGCTGAGCCCGGGGGAACCGGAGCCCCGCGCTCCTGCCCGCTCCCGGTGCGGCCCCGGGCACCGACACAGAGCGGGGAAATGGGGCACAGAGAGGGNGAGGGGAATAATGGGGCACAGAGAGGGGAATAATGGGGCACAGAGAGGGAATAATGGGGCACAGAGAGGGGAATAATGGGGCACAGAGAGGGGAAATGGGGCACAGAGAGGAGAAATGGGGCACAGAGAGGGGAAATGGGGCACAGAGAGGGAATAATGGGGCACAGAGAGGGGAAAATGGGGCACAGAGAGGGAATAATGGGGCACAGAGAGGGGAATAATGGGGCACAGAGCCTTCACACCGGCTCTGCCACTCCTGAGCTCTCCAGGTGTGCCCTGTCCTGAGGGCATCCCTCGAACAGACAGGCCAGGCTTGGGTAAATGACTCAAATAAGTTTAAGCAGTTAAACAGAAATAACTATTTCTGTGCATCTTTTTCTTTTTTTTTCTTTTTTTTTTTTTTTTTAATCCTCATTGCGTGTTAATCCTTTCGGATATAAAATCGTTTAGAGATAAAAATATTTTCTGTTTAGGAATTTGCTGGCTAAAGCATTGTAAGGGAAAACCTTGCAGACAAAGCAAACGGAGTGCATGGAATAAACCGTCCTGTTCATGGCAGTGCCCGGGCTCCCGGGTGGCATCAGTTTTCTTTTGATAGATTTAATTCCTTACATACCTGAAAAGGAGCCACTCAGCCCACCTTGCAGCGCTGTTGCCCTGAGGTTGTGGCCGTGCCAAGGTGTGCACTGAGCCAGGTGCAGCCACCCCCAGGCACAGCTGGAGCAGCCCCGTTCCCGTCCCTCTGTCATTCTCTGGGTGCCGTGCACATCCGTATTGACATTTGCTTTTCCCTCCTGCCCACTCTGACTCCAGCCCTTTCCCAGGGCTCGTGCTGCCATTTTCCTGCACTTCTCAGCTCAGACAAAATGGAGGCTCTGGAGGAATGAATAACTACCACGGCCTTAGCCTTCTAAAATCACAGAGAATTGCCTTTTTGTGAAAAATTATATTTTTGATGATAGAAAAAAGTCAGCGTACCCCATGCTAAAAGGCAGAATCTAATTTTATTTTCTGTGAGCACACTGGTGCAGTGGTGTTCATTTCCTTGCTGAAATGTAAATGTTCATGCACCTTGCTCTATGATGTATTGCCATAAAAGACACTGAATTTCAAATCACCAGCACACCATGTGACACAGGGATGTAACAGCAATTTGTCTTTATTTGAGGCAGCCCTTTTCTGAAATCTCACTTAGGGAGATTCCCAGTTGCCATTAGAAAAGCAAAATAAAATTAATCTAAATAATTCTAACTTAAGCCTAGAAAATTAATGATGGATGAAAGACAGGCTTTATAGAGCATTAATAAGAACTAGTCTGGATACAGTGTGTGTTCTAGGGTCTGTGATTATACTGGTAATTTGACAGATTGTATCACTGCCTATCTCTGCCAAAGGATGTTTCACACCATTTAAAATGCACAGTACTTCCTTCAGAGACAGGTTGTTCTGGAATAACTCAACATCCAAAGAAAAGCTGTGTTATTTCACTCCTCCCTTTATTGATTGCATGTGTACAATCATGTGTGTATGTGCACGTGCTGACTCTGCCTCAGCAAAAGCACAAAGTTTTCCTGGTCATTTCTGTGTTTATCAGCCTCCTCAGAGACAGACAATACCAAAAATGGAAAGTCATGAAATCTGTTCAGAATAGGGCTCAAGTGCTGAAACCAGAGACCCTGTATAAAACAAAGCTGGTCCTTCCTCTAAAAGGTGAATGAAAATACATTTGGGCTTAAGCAATTAACAACTTTGGGAGCTCCCTTTTGTTTCTCATTTTGAAAAGGAAAAAAACTACAGAAATAAGGCCAGATCGGAGCCCTTGTCCAGGAAGGGTGATTTAGGGAATCTCAAGACCAAAGGGACTGAGCAGATCTCACGCCGATGCTGTCGCGGCGAGGCTCGGGCCGGGCTGATGAGCGCGGACACTGCTGCGAGCAGGGCCGGGCAGGGACGATGGGGCTGCCCTGACTGTGCTGCCTCTTCCTTGCAGGCTCTTCGCTGCCAAGTGCAGCGGCTGCATGGAGAAGATCGCCCCGACGGAGTTCGTGATGCGCGCCCTGGAGTGCGTGTACCACCTGAGCTGCTTCTGCTGCTGCGTGTGCGAGCGCCAGCTCAGGAAAGGCGACGAGTTTGTCCTCAAGGAAGGGCAGCTGCTCTGCAAAAGTGACTATGAGAAAGAGAAAGACTTGTTGAGCTCGGTCAGCCCAGACGACTCAGACTCAGGTGAGCTTTTCCCACACCTGCTCTGACTGGAAAGGCTGCATAAGTCTGTAGAGCTTTCCTATAGAAAAGTGCATCCATGTTCACATCCACGTCATCTATATGCATGTGCCACCTATGCAAATGTGCAGGCACAGCTGAAAATATTCCTACTGGCAGTCTGCTTTCCCTAACCTGACTCCCTTCCTTAACTTCCTGCTTAGTAAAAGACTAAATCTTTTTTCTTTCCTCGAAGTGTTTTTCTGTAAGATCATAAAGCATGAATCAGACTGACTTTAGCTACCCAAGTTCTCACTCAAGTGAGGCATCAGTGTGCTGTTCTCCATAGGCATTCTTCCATCCACTTAACATATTTTTCAGGGGATCTTCTCCACATACAATTTCAGCACTAAGCTAGGAAAACGGGCACAGCAGTAATATGATTTTTGAGAGGAATCTCTCTGCCAATTACAAATAGTACCTTTAAGAAGAATTGCAAGTGCAACTCAGAAGTACTGAAGGGAACCTGAAAGTAACTGAGATGTGGGTTAGTGCCACCATAATCTCACACTTGTTTCCCAAGAAAATATGTA